GGATGAATCTGTGAAGGTGTATGGATGAAATTAACATTTAAATTGATGAACATGATTTGAGCCAACTGCCCTCACTAATATGGGTGGGCGTCATCCAATCCCTTGAAAGCCCAAATAGAACAAATACTGATCTCCCGTGAGCAAGAGGAAATTCTGCCAACACACCACTTTCAGACTGGAATTGTAGCCTTGCCCTGAGTCTCCTGTTGGCCCATCTTCCTATCAAATTTTGGATTCACCAAGCCTCAACAATCACATTAACCAAGGCTGTTTTTTTTTTTTTTTTTTTTTGAGATGGAGTTCTGCTCTGTCATCCAGGTGGGAGTGCAATGGTGCGATCTTTGCGCACTGCAACCTCCACCACCCAGGTTCAAGTGATTCCTCTGCCTCAGCCTCCTGAGTAGCTGGGATTACAAGCATGTGCCATAACACCTACTGGTTTTTGTATTTTTAGTGGAGATGGGGTTTCACCATGTTGGCCCGCCTGGTCTTGAACTTCTGACCTCAGGTGATTCACCTGTCTCAGCCTCCCAAAATGCTGGGATTACAGGTGTGAGCCACCATGCCTGGTGAACAAATGCTTTAAGGTAAACCTCTCTCTCTGTCTCTGTCTCTCTCTACACACACACACACACACACACACACACACACACACACACATCCTAATGATCTTTTATATGGTTTTGCTGTGTCCTCACCCAAATCTCATCTTGAATTGTAGCCCCCACAATTCCCACGTGTCATGAGAGGGGTCCAGTGGGAGGTAAATGAATCATGGGGGCGGGCATTTTGTGTACTGTTCTCCTGGTAGTAAGTAAGTCTCATGAGATCTCATGGTTTTATAAAGAGGAGTTCCCCTGCACAAGCTCTCTCTTGCCTGCTGCCATGAAAGACGTCCCTTGCTCTTCCACTAAGATTGTGAGGCCTCCCCAGCCATGTGGAACCATGAGTGGGTTCAACCTCTTTCCATTATAAATTACCCAGTCTTGGGCATGTTTTTATTAGCAGCATGAGAACAAACTAATGGAGTCTTGTTTCTCCAAATAAGCTTAAATGAAAATCTTAGAGATGCTTTTGTCTCTTTTCTGATCTCTTGATCTAGTCCATTTCTGAATGAGCTCAACCAGGATAATCTTAAGGGGAATGTGTGAGCAATAGATCTGCTTCCTAGATTCCTCAGAACCAGGCTCATATCTGGTGAACAAGCTTCCACATTTCTTCAGTCCATGATCCTTTCCAGATTTCTGCCATACGAGAAGAGTGGAAGAGATAATGTGGATATGTGAATACATGATTTAATATCTGCATTGACTTGACTACAGTAGGAGGGGAAAACAATAGGTCAATAGAAACTAGAAGTTACTTTGTATTGAAATGGCACTCATCCCCAATATAACATCATTTTCTGAAACACGATTTCTACCAAACACTTCTCTGGACCATTCTCTAAGGTCCAACCAGCTATACCTCTTACTGAAATTTAGTTCCTTTAAACATGGTTGAAGTTTCCTTAATTGATTTTTTTTTCTTGACTCTTCCCTTATTATTTCACTGCCCATTCTCCCATTACCTGTAAGGGCAGACTTCCATGTCAGAGCAGGGGGGTGTAATGAATATTTGACTCTGGTTAATTTCCTACAATATTCTTGGTTGCCCATATTTTTGTGATTTAAATAAGTAAAACTTTTTAAATAATTCTGCTCATATTCTTTACTTGTTTTCTTTCTCTTTACTTCTGCTTTGGCTGAACTGTTCAGCTACTGACAAGTAGTTTAACATCTTGTATTTCTACTAGATAACTGTGATGTTTTTATTCCTTCTCTATAGTATAATAGTCTGCATTATGATTAATGGTTTCCCAGTCAATATATATATATTTTAATCACAGTCTTCCTAAAAGACTGGTTTTATTACAGATTATAATCATTCATGCATCCTTTTCTACCTTTCTGACTCTCTTAGCTAACAAGAAATTACTTCTATGATACCTGAGTAGAGAAGCTGATTGTCTTCATCTCATAAAGACCTCAGGATTATAAGAAAACCATAATTCTATGTACAATTTCATTAATATTTTCTTCACATAAGATTAACATTTTGTCTTTAAGCTGTTAGGTGAAGTATCTACGTATTTTGTGCCTGGAACAAGACAAGTCCACTGGATGTGACAAGGCAGGCACCCTGTAAAAGTGAACTTGTGTATGTAGTCTTATTCATAGAAATAGTTTCCTTTCCTCCCTCCCTCTGGCCTGCCTGTTGCCCTCCCTCCCTTCCTCCCTCCCTCCCCCCCCCTTCCTTCCCTCCTTCCCTCCTTCCCTCCTTCCTTCCTTCCTTCCTTCCCTCCTTCCTTCCTTCCCTCCTTCCCTCCTTCCCTCCTTCCCTCCTTCCTTCCTTCCTTCCTTCCTTCCTTCCTTCCTTCCTTCCATCCTTCCTCCATTTCCTACCTTCCTTAAAATGGAATTTACATAAAAGGATTTTCATACTGGAAATACAATATAAAAGCATGTGGTGATATGACTTCACAGTGACTTGAAGGTGGCTTATTCCTGTTCTTGGTAGACCCTGTGTGTGCTTCTCCAGGCCACGTATAAAGCTCTGACTCCTCTTTCCTTCCTTCCTTCCTTCCTTCCTTCCTTGTTCTGACTCCTCTGACTCTGTTCATTATTCCCTGTTCTATTTCATTCTGTTTGTGAACTTTACCTGGTTTCTGACATTTTGGATTTCTCTCTCTCTCTGTCTCTCTCTCTCTCTCTCTCTCTCTCTCTCTCCCGCCACCCCCCGCCCCACACTCTTTCTCAGAAAAGTGTGGGAAACTTTCTGGGGAAAAAAAAAGCACCTGAGAATGGTTACTGGGGAAAAAAAATGACTTCTTCTATTAAAGGTTTTTATCCTTTAATACTGTCTTAGGTTAGACATAACTTCTGCAATGGCACTTCTTTTTCCAGATAACCACTGTAGATAACCCCAGGTGACTTCTTCTTGCATTCACATAGTGGAGCAATTCCCGATCAATTCTACTGCAGTTTCTAGAGAGGAAATTCAAACAACTGGTAGTATATTTTACTAACCTCATTTTAGAGATGAGAAAATTGAGACAGAAAAAAACTTACATAATTTCCTTGAGGCCGAATAACATACTAGAAACAGATAGCTGTAAGGCTTAGCTCTTTCTGATTAACATCATTATTCCATATTTAGCTGCAACTTCTCCAGGAATAGAAATTCAGAAAATAGATTTTACTTCTGCAGTGATCAGATTCAAAAGCAAAGAAAGAAATGCTTATTTCACTTTAAGCAGAAATTTATTCACAGAGCTAGATCCAGATGTGGTAAGCACATTACAGATGTGATGCAGCCCCTTCTAGAAATGGTAGGTGAGAAACATAGAGCAGCCTTCCCTGGTCCACCATAAATCAATCATTCATTAGATCTTTTGTAGGCACCATCTGTTGCAGACCCTGAGATAGGTGCTAGAGATACAAGTGTGAGCATGTCAGCATCCATGATCTAAATGACTTTTAGACTATCATAGGGCAAAAGTAAAAAAAGAAAATAAAATATTTCTGAATTCATTCTTGAGATAATATACACAATGGCAGTGATTTATGGATAAATGGACAGGTTGATTTTTCCCCATAAGTTTATAAATGACTTAAAATATGATGTGTTGTTAATCATGTAGTTTTCATGGTGGTAATTTTGCCCCAAAAGAAAGAAAATTGGTTATGGGGGAGGAGAACAATTCCTGGGTATTACAATGATTTGTGTCCCTCACAAAGAGCAACAGTACCTAAGAAGATATGCAATATGTCTATGGAATTAGAATTTCATTTGGAAGTGGAGGTGATTAAGAAAAGTATGTTTTGAAAGTATCTTTAGGAGGGAAATATGAACAAATGTTGAAAAACACTGGTTAACATCTTTTGGTGTTTGAGTCATTACCAGTATCTTCACTGGTTTATTCGAACTATACAAAATTATTACAAGTACCACGGAACATATTTATGATTCCTCTGTTTAGAAATAAATTGCACTTTAATATCATAAAAATAAATCATCTAAATTATCCCAAGTATTTTCTTTGGGAGGAGGGACTCCTTTTCAAACATTTATTTTTTAGATCTGGCAATAATTTTATTTTAGTCTGTGTACAAAATAAGCGAGTTTTATAGCTATGAAACATTTCTTTCCCATTTTTTGGGTTCTGTGTACTCATCATATATACTGTATAACCTCTGACCTTAAAGGAGTTATATTCTCCTCATCAGATTTGCCAGCCTGAATATCTGTCTTTATTCTCAATATATTTTTCTGTTCTCATGTTGTCAATCAATTGTTAAGAACAATGCAAAATCTGGTTTTAATCTCAAATTACTAATGCTGTTTTTCTGTTGCTTCTTTAGACTTTTTACCTCTGCTCTGCCATATGTGATATCTAGCTTCTCTCACTGGAATAGCTTGTCTTCAGGTTCTTTTTGTTGTTTCTTTTTCTACAGCTAAACTTGCACCTGAATTTTTAAAACGCTTATAAATAATGGTTTTAGTCTATAAAATAAAAGGTGCTCCATAGTAGAAACAGTTGATGGTATTAATAAATAAAATATTCTATACACATTGAACAGAGTCAATAAATAAAGAACTGCCTCAAAAATTAGCAATTTCCCTCCCACTTAACATGTCTAAGTTGAACTAAATAGATCCTGGGCACTCTCTGTATTTATTTTTCACAGTAACATTACAAGGACTTAATAGAATGTCCGTAAAAATCATAAGACCTTAATAAATGTGTTGAATGAATTCAGATGTTCTTTATTTCCAATCAAAACTTCTTAAGAGAGTAAACTACGAATGCTTTGATCAAATTATTGTCTTTCCCATTATTCATGGTTTCCCTTTCTGCAGTTTCAGTTACTTGTGGTCTATTGTGGTTCACAAATATTAAATAGAAAATTCCACAAATAAATAATTCATACACTTTAAATTGTGTTTGTTCTTTACAGTATGCACCATTTGAGTTCATGCTGTCTTCATCACAAGAAGAAAAGTAAGTAAAGTACAATAAGATATTTAGAGATACATCAATATCCCATTTATGAAACTTTATTACAGTATATTGCTATAACTCTATTTCATTATGTTACTATTAGTCTCTTACTGTGCCCAATTTATTAATTAAACTTTGTCATTGATACATAAGTATATAAAAAAAGCATAGTGTATATTGGGATTTGTACTATCTGCAGTCTCAGGCATCCATTAGGAGCTTCAGAAAATAATCCCCCTGGATAAGGAGGAACAACTGTGACTTATAGTCATTAACCTCTGTTTATTTAACTGGCTGTATCTGGAAGACTAGAAGATAAGAATTTGGGGCAGAAAACCTTAAGCATTAAAAAACTTCCCATTTATAAACTAAAATATAGTTTACAAAGGTCCTGATTATATAATACTGCCATCAGAGGCAGAAGCTTAATTTTGGTGGCCCTTTACGTGGGTAATTTTTCATTCAGGGTTTTGTGTTCTATTTATTAAAGAAGACTTCCTAATTTGCATATAATTCAGTTCCCTGCAAAAGCTGGATTAATTCCACCCTGATGGCAGTAGTGACCGACTCTCAGCCCACTAGGGTTTCATGGCTCAGTCTTGGGGAAATTCCAGCCTACTTGATACAAGTGCCAAATCGATCTTTTCTCTTGCCTTTCCCTCAAAAATCCATCCTGCACGTTCCTACCAGACAAACTTCCTAATGTCTTTTTCTGTTTCTATGACTTTATTTCTCAGGCATGTTCAGTTCTTTCCCTGGTCCATAAAATTAAGTTCTTACTCTGACTTTCAGTGCTACCTACCAAATGGCTGCCGTCTCCACGTGTTCCTCTTCCTGCTAATCCGCTTAGTATAACCTACCGTATGAATCAGGGTCCTCTACAGGGACAGAACTAATAGGATAGTTGTATATATGAAGGAAAACTGAAAACGTATTAAGGAGTATTAACTCACACAATCACAAGGTGAAGTCCCACAATAGGTGTCTGCCAGCTGAGGAGAAGGGAAGCCAGTCCGAGTTTCAAAATCTTAAAAGTAGGGAAGCCAACAGTGCAGCCTTCAGTCTGTGTCCCCAAAGCCCCTGGCAAACCACTGGTTTAAATCTAAGAGATCAAAAGCTGAAGAACTTGGAATCTGATGTTCAAGGTCAGGAAGCATCCAACACAGGAGAAAGATGAAGACTGAAAGAGTCAGCAAGACAAATCCTTCCATGTTCTTCCACTTGTTTTATTCTAGTCACACTGGCAGCTGATTACGTGGTGTCCACCCAGATTGAGGGTGAGAGTCTGCCCCTCCCAGTCCACTGACTCAATAGTTAATCTCCTTTGGCAACACCCTCACAGACACACTCAGGAACAATAAATACTTCGAATCCTTCAATCCAATCAAGTTGACGCAATATTAACCATCACGCCTATTCACTGAGTTAGGCTTTATCCCCAGTATGGTATGTGTATCCATGAAGTGTTTCTTTTTAAATTTATTTTCTTATTTTCTTGAAATACTTGCTAGGGTGGCTCTAGATAGAACTGAAGCCATATTCTATGGTGCCGAACAAGGACAGGGGCTGATGAAAGCACGTGGAGTTCCAGCTGCCCCAAGATTCAGCACTGTTAACCTGCTCCAAAGTAACTCTGGGGCTGTGTGCACCGCCTTTGCCCATGATTGCTTCATTTTTCTCTTGGTTGGCATGCTCATCTCAGATTTTTTAATTCTAGTTATGTATAGGACAAGGAGTTAAGTGCCAGCTCTCTAATACAGCCTGCATCCGTATTATGAACAGATGATCATAAAATGTAAATAATTTCAAGAGATTGACAGATTTTTCTTAATCAAGAATTCAAGTTTGAGTGCAAAAGATATTTATCTGATTTAGCTATATGGATTATTATTCTGTTTTGTTAAGAGATTACAATTGGGAAAAGACAATGAATTTTAACAGGAGACAAATATTTCCTGTGGCTATATACATTTGGTTACATGTGAAACTTAAGGCATTGTATTGTATGTTTCTTACACGGTGTTTGGAGTTCCGAAGGACTGCAATATATCAACTTTATTAAGACTCTCTTTGCCTTCCTTTAGATTACCCAGGGATCACAAAGCATAACAAATACTAAAAAACAAGCGCTTCTAACAGCAGCAATGGCCCCCATCTTTCCAAATCTGCCTGTAAAAAATTCTTCCAACAGGCTTGTGCTCAGCTTAATACCTCTGACTTGCAGGATTTCCTGAGTCCCGACTCACATGCTGCCTTTCGCTACTTTGGATTTCCCTTTTTTTTTTTTTTTTTTAATTTATTTAATTAATTTATTTTTTTTGAGACGGAATTTCACTCTTGTTACCCAGGCTGGAGTGCAATGGCGAGATCTCGGCTCACCGCAACCTCTGCCTCCTGGGTTCAGGCAATTCTCCTGCCTCAGCCTCCTGAGTAGCTGGGATTACAGGCACGCGCCACCATGCCCAGCTAATTTTTTGTATTTTTAGTAGAGACGGGGTTTCACCATGTTGACCAGGATGGTCTCGATCTCTTGACCTAGTGATCCACCCGCCTCGGCCTTTAAATTTAATATTTCTAAAATATTCCCATCAAATTAGCTTTCATATTCCTTGAAGGCAGTACTCTCAAGTCAGCATTTTGTTCAACAATGTATACTCTGAAGATCTTCTAGGTACAGGTTAAATGTGTAAACAGATATTTGTAATCTTTCATTTTAAAACATGCTTCTGTTAAGACTTTTCCCCAAAAGCGTCTGCTCATCTCTTTTTTTATTTTATCAATTGTAGAGTGTTTCAATGAATTCTTTACTTCCCAAGTCTTCGCATTCTTCAGGGAATTTGATGTATTTTTTACCCTCCAGGTCATAAGCGGTTAGCTCCTTGGATTGCCTTCCATTTGTCAGTGTTCTTGATGCCATAACTTCCTTGATGTATTGTTAACGACTGAGTCGTGCATGCGCGCGCGCGCACACACACACACACACACACACACAGCTACACATATATTTATGAGTGTTTGTATATATTAAGAAGAAGTCTAAGTACTTTGTACTTAGAATTGGTTTGGTTTGGTTTCTTCTTTTGTGTATTACTAAAACTTGGCATTGCTGTTTTCTATGTAACTAGTTCTTCCTCTCCAGATTGTTCAATTGCTCCTTTTGTTACCTAAATCTCAATGCTTTTTCCCACTTTATTTGTCTACCAATATTTACAAGCTGTTTTGTCTCCCTGTTGTGACTTCACAGTCAACAGTGGTGTCAGAAAGACAGTTTCCAGTCTGTTATCGTCTGTGAATATCATTAGCGTGGTGTTACTTACATCCTCTTTTAGCTCACTAATGAAGATGCTGGGAGATTGCACCATGCATCAGTTGTCTAGAGACAACACGGAGCAAGTTGTCATTTTCCTTAGTCTTTCACTTTTAGTCCTATATTGTGGCTTATTTACAAGCTTATATTTAAACTTGAGAAGTCATCGTCCTTGGAGTGGGCATAATTGTGTTAATGCATCATTTGTAAATTTCATTAAAAAATGGTCATAGGTGTTTAATAGGACTTTTTCTTCATGATCCAAAGATCGTTATTTTTTTGAAATGACAATAGTCAAACTTCAGGGGTTGTTTGCCTAAATTCATTATGTTGTTTGCATGGCACGTGAATTTCATGGGCATAGCAAACACACAGGCAAAACGTCATGTTTGTGCTTCTGCCCATGGGATGAATGGCAGTGCTCGCAAGACACTGCTCTTTATGCTGTGTATCTTCACCATTCCATTTCTTTTTTTCCATCTTCTCTTCTTTCCTTTGCTCTTGCCAAATTTCTTTCTACTGAGTTTTCATATAACTTCTCCCTTTCCTCTAGACAATTGTTGGTACTTCTTGTATTTCAACTTGCCCTGTATTCAACTATAACTCTATAATCACACTTACCGTGGATAGTGTACCTCTCTTTACTTACATATCGATCATCACTCTATGCTATGAGCATCTAGAGGGCAGAAAGTTTGTCATATTTGTATTTATTCCTCGATGTTTAGCATAAAGTAGGCACTCAGTAAATGTTTGCCAATCAGTGAATTAACAGCTTGTTAGGGGACATCAGTAAAAGCCCTAATTTGAATAAATAAACTTTTTATAAGCAATTACACTGAAATGGCCCTCCTCCAAATTTGTCCTATTTGATTAACACTTTACTTGAAAATGCCAAGTTACCTTCTCTTCTCTACATAGATTCAGTGCAGTTAATTGTTCAGCAGAGAGCAAGTGATGCATAGTCAATTACTGTTAATATTTTGATCTCTGAGTCTCTTAGAAAACAGTTATTTATTTTTTAAGAATGAAAACCAAATATCAAGGGAATAAGTCTAATCAGCGTATTTTAAAAAATTGTTACATGTTCTGTTTTTGTTAAAATGTTAGATGAATTTTCTTTACAGTTTTCATAACATTTGAGTCTATAGATACTGTATTGAGATTTAGCTGATGAATTTTGGATATTTTTTATTATCAGCTTTTCAATATAAATTATAACATTTTCTAATATAAGTTAAATTCTATTTAGTAGATAATACTTCTTTGTGTGTATTAATAGGGTTCAAAAAAGTATTTTAACTCAAAGTTTAAAAGAATGATTTTTTTCAGTTAACTGGAGATGAGTAGGATTTTTCTAACTTTGTGTATTCCACATGCTTTGCTCATGTTAATTTCCAGGTTGGCATTGTTTTATATACCAGGTGCATTTGTAAAGGAAAAAAGGAGGAAATACATGATTAACATTATTCCTCTAAACTAGACATCATGATAGTTCCCTGAGGGCAGAGATTTAGATAACCTTGACTTGAATCCTCAATTTTGTGGATCATGGAAAATCTCAATATTTATTACTCACAGAACTTTACTGAAAAATTAAAGGATTATGGAGAAATAGTAGCAAGTTGAAAGTTGCTTAAATATAGGCACATTCCATACATTTTATATCTTAAAATTATACCTCCACCCTGCC